CTCTTTTCCGTTCGGCGCATTTGCTATTCGGCCCTTTTAACATTACGTTCGGTGCTTTTACATTACGTTCGGTGCTTTTACATTACGTTCGGTGCTTTTTACATTACGTTCGGTGCTTTTTACATTACTTTCGGTGCTTTTAACATTACGTTCGGTGCTTTTTACATTACTTTCGGTGTTTTTACATTACGTTCGGTGATTTTTACATTACATTGCCGTTTGACATTTTTACCTCAGCCTCAATTTTTTCTTATTTTGTTCTTAATTTTTAAGCAATTTCAGGATCAGTGTTCTTATAAAATGTGTTCTTATATTTAAAAAAAGGTGTAAGTAAGTGTTCAATGTAATAAAAAAACACGATAGAATCAAAGTTTGAACAAAATAACATATCCAAAACAAGTCTACCTTATATTGAAAAACAAAATTTAAACTTTTCACAAAATTCGGCCAAATATAGTTTGGCCGTGACTTTTCAAACGTTACGGCCAGGCGAAGTTTTATACGGCCAGATATGAGGAATCTGGAACTGAGTCAAAAAGGCCAAATGGCAACCCTGTGTTTGTACATGGAGGTATTATAATACCTCCATGGTCCTACCTACACTGCAAGCCAAACTACTGTAGCCAAAGAGTATAAATTTCAGAGCCATATAAATTTTCATACACAGCGCCACCTAAAGGCGGAATGATTATTCGTTATCGCACAACGTCGGCAGAGGGCGTATACACGCTGCAAAACACAGGCAAAACACATGTAGAGTTAGCCAATGGTGTGATATGTCGATATCGCGCGAAAGTTTGTTTTGCGAAGTCAACACTGCGTCGTAGCCTTAACATACAGAAGTGGTTAAGCCTAGGCCTAGGACCTAATTAATTGTTTCTAACAAATTGTAGCCTAGATTTTTTTAAAGTTAGAATTAACTGATATGGATGAACAGGATAATGAATACGAAAAACTAGCTTACACTCAGGTAGGTTAATTTGGCCTTAATTTAACGAACGAGATTGAGAACTAGGCTAGGCTAGCTAGCATAACTAAAGCTAGTGGGTAGGAATAGGCTATAGGCCTTCATTCAGGCCCTAGAAGTTAGACTGGGCTAGTCAACTCGACCCCAAACCAAGCTAAGGTCAATTTGGCCCCAAGTCAACTCTGCCGAAAAGTCATCTCGGCCCAGTCAAATCGACCCCAAGTCTACTCAGGCCATTTTTAAATTTAAATAAATAAATCTTAAAATATATTTAAGATAGCCTATAATAATATTATAATAGGCGTCCGTAGGCCTAGGCCTACAGTACTAGACGCTTTAGGCCAACTTCGGCTGCTGACACCTTCGGCCGCGCCCTGTCAAACACCAAAATGTATGGAGTGCCTTTTGAGTGCTTTGCCGATTGGAAGTTGAATGCGCGCTATTGTTTGTCACGCTGATATACAGTGGTTGAATGAGCGCTATTATATCTATTCAATTCTTAACCTCAAATTCAGAAATACTCAGGCTTACATTGTTACAGATAGGCCTATACACACAGAACATGTCGCAACAATTAATATTAATAGTGTGTTAAAATTTCAGTGATAAAATTATATAATTTGTGAAAAAATCGTAACGAATTAAACATGGCAAACTTTGCGCTGCCACTTACACCATGGTTAACACAAGCAACATATTTGCAAGATTTTTAAACATTTTGACGATAATAATTGTTAAAGGTAAACATCATTGCTTGTTATCGATTATAGATCTCATTTTTTACATGTGCACTTGTTTACTATTCAGTAATGTAAATATAAAGACCTGAATTTTAAATCACCAATAAATTAAATATTTGATTAAGTAAATTAATTGATTGGCTTTATTGATATAAGTGTATGTACATTAAGGGCATGAGAATAGAGAGATATTCCTAAAGAATTTTTATTGACTAATGATTGACCAATTTACTCTAGATTTCTTTTTCCAACTCTTGTAAATAACACACTTTCATCACCCTCGCTAATGTGTTATTTTACATCCGATCTTGTATGAAAAGATAACATGAACAGACAACAGACATAAAAATAAATTATTTAAAAAAATGTTTTATTTTGTGGATAAAGGACGAAATTTGTGCACGTATATCATTCTAAATTTTATTTGACGAAATTCTATTTTGTGGATAAAGGAAACTGACGAAATATAAATAAAAATACAGTAAAAAATGTCTTTTGTAGTCTATTAATAAATAAAATACTGGAGCTTATTATACTTATACTGGAAATATAAATTACTGTACAATGAATAGGCCTACAGTTTCAAATTGTATAATGAATAACAATACTGTTCTGTAAAACAAATAAAATACTGAAGCTTTACAATTCTTCAATGTAAGACACAGCATGCGGTGTGGAGAAATGCCCAACTGGCGCTCCATATAAATCTCGAGTGGCCGAAGGTGTTGGCGGCCGAAGAAGTCATATCCCTACTAGACTAGGGCCTAAATTTATTTAAATTTAATTTTCAGTAAATTATTTCTTCCCACTTTCACTTAATGTGTTTTGTGGGAACTTGTAGATTCAGTTTAGAGGTGATACATGACTTCTTTGTTTAACACAGTTTGTTTGGATTGTAGATTAATTACTGTAGATATATAAATTGTTTAATTCCATTTCCCATTCTTTTTCTCAAATAATTTTCCTGTTTTTTACTATGGGCACATAGAAAAATATCCATATCCATTAAACAACAGGGGACTTAATGGACCAGTACACTGTGGTAGCCTCCAGTGGCTGAGCTGTCCTACAGGGGGGACTTATCAGTCTATCACTCCCACCTGAGTAAAAAATTTGGGAAATATTGATGCGGGAATAAAAAAAAATTATTTCAACAGCTTAAAACAACAATCTTGTGACTGAAAATACATTTTCTTTAAAAAACAATAAAATAAAGCAGTTTTATATAATATTTACAATATTCTTGCCAAATAAAAACAGTCACTCCCTCATCAATAAAAAAAAAGCAATATTCTATTGGCCCGATTAAAGAAAAAAAAAAAAACCACCTGCCCTCATGACTTTTTTTTTGAAGAAGAGTGATAATCTAATTTTTAGGGCGCTGGTTTGGGCCGAGTTTACTAGGGTCGAGTTGAAATGGGGCCGAGTTTACATGACTATTTTTATTATTGTCAGTTTTAAATGCTTTGGGAATTTATTTTTATCAATGTATTTTGTATGTCAGATGGTGACGGTCCCCTAATATTAGCTCACCAGTAATGGTTAGCTGAACACGTCAATCCTTATTAAATATTGTTTAAATAAAAAAAACTAAAATAAAATTAAATAATAAAAATAATTTTTAAAAATATGTAAATGAGTTGAAAAATAATTAGTAGAATATAATGTAGGCCTATAATGCAATTTAATGCCCATATTTTAAAGTATTTTAATTGCGTAGATTATACAGTAGTTTAAAAACTAGCTCAAAGTTGCCCAGAAAATCAATGGGAAAATAATGTGCAGAATTGTAATTACTGCATAATACATTGGTTATATATTAAGATTAGGTCAAAGGAAAGCCTGATTTTGGTAAAATCTGCGCGAAAATCAGCCCTTATTTTACAAAAATGCATGGACGGATTTCTAGGCCCTTGTGCAGGCCTTACTTTACAATCTACAGTGTTATGACCCTTCCATAATCTTCCCTTATTATAAAGCAAGTTCTCAAAGTGTTGGCCAATATTAACTTTGTTGTAATTCTGTAAACTATTATATTGTATTGTTTGTTAGCAGATAATGGCCCTAAGCAATAAATTTCAATGAATTGAAACATGTAATCTTTATGTAAATACTGTAGTCTCAATAATATGGTATCTCATACATGAGAGGTTGACTTGCAGTAATAATTGGAATCGTATGAAATAATAATGATAATAAATATTGACTTGGCCTATTTGGCTGAATTTGTGAAGGGCCAAGTTGGTTGATGGACCAAGTTGCTTAGGGCGAGACATTTTTTATACCTTGTTTCGTGAACTTATTTTTTTAAAGATCGTCAAAGGAAGGCAGCAAAAATATAAAAATAAAATTTAGTTTTCTTATTTACCAAATGGTTTTGCCAAAAACATCCAGACGGAGGAGGAAGTAAAAATAAAAGTTTATTGTTGAATGTAAACAATAGTGGTAATGAGATGGTTAAATGCTTTAAATTTATATAATTAGGAAGAAATATACATATCTTATTTTTGGCAGCTGTGGGTGTAATAAAAATAAGAAAACTTATTTTTTTCTGAAATTTCCTTTTTATCGTGGCTAAAAATAAAATGTTTAATTTTTATTTGAAATCATCATTATTGGTGGGCAGGGGTTCGCTAAACAAGGTATAAAAACGTCTTACCTAAGTGGTAAATTGATAGGGGGCCAAGTTATTTTAGAAGTAGAAGCAATGATCTTTCTCTTCTCAGAAACATGTAATAATATAGGAAAATTAATAAAAATATAGCAAATGTGCATTGTGAAAATCCACTCATTTCTTTTTTTTCATAAAAAGTGTAGTAAACAGAGGCCTATGTAAATGTCAGAAGATGCTAAACTATCTGGCTAATTAATAGTGGCAATTACAGTACAGTATGGAATAATTGTAAATCAAAGACCGAAACAATAGAGGGCAGAATTTATACTCTACATTCCATACTGTGTTTTTTGTTTTATTCTATGATCCCATTTGAATCTTTCATGTAATTTTGCATTCCATTAAACTTTTTAGAGACTGAAAGCAGCTATACATTTTTCAGTAGGCCAGATATGTGAAGAAGTTTCACAGGACACTGATGTTACATTTACGAAGCAAGTTATAGCAGCTTTTGCAGAAGCAACTTTTCGTCAGTGTGGTATGTATAAATGATTATCTGACTACTGTATTTGTTTAGTTGCCTGTTTTTGTAGATATATTCCTGCCTGGTAAACATAAGAACCTAACTGCATTGCATAGAAAATAAAAATATGTTTGTGGAAAATAAACCAAGTGTGAAATTCATTGGTGGTAAACTAAGACAATATTTATTCAGGGTGCGTAGATTCAGTGCAAACAATTAAAAAAATCTTGTGCAAAATTTTCACAGAAAACAGCTGTACAATTGCAGATTCATAGATCTGAATTTTTTGTGAGCCCTACTATTCAGTTGTGCCTTGCCTAGACAGAACTAATCATTTCAATAATGCCTAACACTTGCAGAATATGGTAGCTTAGAATTGAACGACTTGTAATCAACCTGTGCATGCACCACGTTGAATGACTTTTCTATGCCCATCAGGTTACTATTCAGTTTTTCTACCGAAAGCAGAGTGTGGTGGAGGGGGCGGGGGCAGGCTGTGCCAGTTTCCTGGGACAAGATAATTGAAAAAAAATGATAAGGTGTATTTGGAAAAGACAATATGTTGAATGACATTCACAGGTATTATGTCTCTAAAGATAATTGAAAAAAAATTATAAGGTGTATTTGGAAAAGACAATATGTTGAACGACAATGACATTCAGAGGTATTATATCTCTAATTGTCAGAATTAGGCATCTAATAGATAAAACGATGGATTTTCGGAGGCTTTGTCCCCAAATTCCCACCAGGATTCTTCCTCCTTGACCCTGCTGGGAGCCTCTATTTTATTTTATTCAATTTCCAGTTGAAAATACACAAAAATATACATAAAACAATAGTACAATCAGCACCTGAGGGTAGCCATAAAGTGGGATCAATTCAAAGAATTGCACTGTCAAGTGGCTTTCCCAACTAAGAGTACTTAAATAAGTATTAAAATTCAATATGATTGATCACTTTCTTGAGCTCCCTTCTACTCTATGGGCCATCCCAGACCCCTCTTGGGGACCAAGAACTTTGCAGCCTCAAGGCCCAGGGTTGCTCTTGATGGTGCAACGATAAAATTCAATACATTATATTGATTTTTGTATTTTTGTTTACTTTGATATTAGGCATGATTAATCACTTGCATGTTCATTATTCTCAGAAACTGTTGCAGTGGATTTGGAGTTGTTTGCAAAGTAAGTTTGTTGTTGAATTTTTTATTGAATGAATGTTATTGATTGAATGGATCTTGTCTTCAGTCCTCGGCCTTGTGGTCAGAGGTTCCGTATATTATTATTATTATTATTATTATTATTTTATTATTACACTTTTTTTTATAACAACCAGTAAAATTTTTTGTCAAGGCTCAGTGTTCTTATCTTTTTGCCGATTTCAGGCTCAAACTGTTCTTATTTTATTCTCATTTTTACACACTTTTCAAACACCAAATTATTATTGTTGTATATTACTGTACTGTATTAGACTATGGTATTATATACTATGGTATTATAATTCTGTAAGATATAATTGTATCTGAACAACTTATACATATGTAGGCTTTATATGTACTGCATAATGATAGAAATTCTCCAACTACTTGTAACTTTTACATTTACTTTTTTTTATATTTATGTGTGCAGTATGTTTTTTTAACCTGTTTTTATAATGTATGTATGTATTTATTGAAATGAAAATGTTCCCACCAGAAATCTTTTCTGGACAATAAACTCTTTGAATCTGAATCCTTTTGTACTTCGATGCTTATTGTCCTTGTCTTGCCTTTTTTCATGCTTTCCATTTTGATTGGGTTTTTTTTTTTTTTTTTTTTTTTTTTAACATTTTTAGATAGGGCTATTTTATCTACCTTGATTTAATCAATTTTATATTGTTCAAATTCAATTTTGCAATATTGGAAATAGCAATAAAGTTTATTTGTCAACACCTTATTTTTTCTACAGGCATGGTAAGAGGTCAGTGATAAATAATGAAGACGTTAAGTTGTTGGCAAGGAGAAGTGATGCTTTAGTAAGTATTATCTTATACTAGTAATTATTTTAGTTTGTTTTACCAAAGTCATTGGACTTGTGATACCCACCATCCACAATGAGCGACTTCATTATATAAATAATGAGTTCATTTGAATGCACCATGAAATTCATTTCAATGCACCATGATTATTCTCAGAAATAGATTTATGTCCTCAATGACTATAAATTATTTAATTTTGATCTTGAATGAACATTTTCCATTCACCATTTAAGGTGTGATTATGAAATGCCTTAATGATACTGGATCTGGCATTATTGCAAACATTTCTGGATGAAGTGTTCCGGAAAGCCGTTAGAACACTGTAGTCATTAATTGATATTTATATGAATGAGTGGGTGTCATGAAAATGGCCTATATTTCTCAACTGAGATGTGACTCAGAGCTGTTAGGGTTGGGTGGGGTCCACACTGAAGTTTTCCTCTATTAAATTTACACAACCAAAGCTTGTATGATTGTTCCATCATTAATGCTCCCATACAGTACTCAACTAAATACTACATGTTTCATTTTTCACTGCAACAACACCTCACCCTAGTTTAGTTGTCCTAACTGGGTCATCAGTCTAAAAGTTTGCAGAATGCTACACTAGCCAACACCCAGAAAATGCTGCAGTCATTAACAATCTGTGTAAGTAGTAGTGAATATGTGTGAGCTTGGGCAATGCTTAGATGCAACTATGACATGTATGTGTGTGGGAGTAGGTGTGTGTGTGTTGGGGGAGAGGTTAACAAAATAGTGATATAGTAATCACCTCAGGTACTGTATGATTTAGTATACAGTTGGAAATTGACGTGCAAGTCTTACAATTAATGAATAATAATTTGAATATTGAATGTAAAAACTGTTTTGACCAATGAGAATTAAGGTGTGGTGGATTATTCTAAAGTGGAAGCTACCAGAGCCCAACATACTGCCTAACGAAGTGCCTGCGTGCACCCGGGTGTGACAGCAACGTTTTTATCGACATCGGTGGGTGGAGCCCTGTTCTGGATACTTATACCGATAGCGCAAATGCTTTTTTGGAACTGTTTTAGTTTAAGTACCGTAGTTTAAGTCAAAAGTATTTACTGCTTGTTATCTTTTCTTTTTGTAAAGCGCATTGAGGCTTTTTTGCGAAATGCGCTATAGAAGTATGGAATTATTTTTATTATTCTAATTATAGGCCGATATTTTGAACTTGGTTAAGCAAAAGGATTTGTCCATTTTTGTGAAGTGCTTCTCCAATTTTAAACAATATCACCCTCAGCCTTGTGTGTTACATTCATATACATAACTATAAGACTTGCGTGTCATTTTAAAGTACAATACACTAAATTACTTATGATGACGTCTAGAAGAAATAAGTCATAGATTATTGATGTCAAATTTTTATTTCTAACATACATGACATTAGTTCCTATAACGAGGTGTGCAAACATGATTTTAGGCTCCTGGAAAAGCTGATTGAAAGATCCACAAAAGCTGAAGAAGATTTTATATTTCTAATGTAACAATAAAGTGCTTAGAGGCTCTGTTGTTATGATTGAAGCACTCCGCCTAACATATTATTATCATAATTAGTCCTATACACAATACTCAGGGTATTTTGTATTTTTATTTCCTAATAATGAAACAAGCATCTTAGATTTTAAGTGTCATTCTGTGTTATGACACTTTCAGTAATATTTTTTTTTCTCATAACTATTGCCTGGCTTGGGGTAAAGTGGTCTGAAGGTAGCAATAACATGCAATATTTTTCTATGCATTATCACACAAAAGGAACGGAGGTAATCGTTGTAGCAATTCGGTTAACAAGCATAAAGTTGTATTCAAGAATAACAAGCATAATATAGTACCATACTTTGTTATGACTCAGAGAGATGATGAAATATGGTAACAGTCACACTTTGCATGGTTGCAGATTAAAGGCTGATTTTTAAGCTCTGTCCAGAATATCAAATTTTATAGTCATGATGTGCCTATATATGGTCATGATGTGCATATATATAGTCATGTTGTGCCTATATATGGTCATAATGTGCCTATATATGGTCATGATGTGATGTCATGGCCATAATTAGGCATGTCGCATGTTTTTGTCAAAAAAAAAATTTGATAGTCTGGACAGGTCTTAAGAGTAGTTGGTGAAGAGAAATTTAAAAAGATGATATGAAATTGAAAGTAGTCATATGAAATAAATATTTGTGGCAAAGACAGGCCAAACTGGTCACTTGTTCGCAATTTGCCAAAACAAGCTGGAATGTCAACATTTTTTAAATCTTGCACAAAACTGTATATATCTATACATCATGCCATGCTGGTATTTTCCCCATTTTCAATGTTAAAACATTTTTAACGATTTCGTGATAGTCTCTGCCTGAGAAATGCCCGAAATCATAAACTTTGAAGGCTGATTTCTCATATATTGTTTGTTCTTTAAACAGCTCTATGTTTGAGTGCTTATAACTCCATAAGAAAATGTCGGATTTGAATTGTTCTTTTACCATTTTATAGCTCTTATTTTACAGTTTATTTTTGCGACCAGTGACTGGTTTGGCTTGTCTTTGCCACATTTTATATTTCTGCTAATGTTATTACAGTACTATACTTTGTAGTGAGATGTATTTGTTGAATACTTTTTACAAATGCTTTGTAAAAATGGTAATAATGCCTCCTCAATGGAGGGCACCATTGAGAAAGAGGTTCTGAAGTTGAATTTTTGTGTTGTGTAATAATCTTATTATGATTAATGACAATACAGTTATAGTAAGTTTTATGGCCTTTTAAATTTCTTTAAAAAACAGACCCTGGATATGCAAATTCAAGTTAAAGCCAAATTTGCATTATTGTCAGCCAGTCGCATATTATGACATTAGCAGAGTGCTGATGAATTTCTGATTGACATATTATTATTATTATTATTATTATTATTATTATTATTATTATTATTATTATTATTTTTCAGGCTAACCATATAAAAGCAATGAGTGACAAGCTAACAGCCGCCAATGCAGCAGAAAAGGAAGAAAAAGGGAAGCGGAATCGCAAGAAAAAATCCACAGTTGTGATAGATGATGAGTAGATAAATAAATTGAGACACTATTTCTAATGTAACAATGTGAAATGCTTAGGGACTTTGTTGGTATGATTGAAGCACTGTGCCTAACATATTAATATTATTGTAATTAGTCCTATGCACAATACACTGTGTATTTTGAATAATTTCCTAATAATGAAACGATTAGCATCTTAGCCTTTAAGTGTTATCCTTTGTTATGACAATTTCGGTAATAATATTTTTTCCTCATGAATATTGCCTGGCTTGGGGTAAAGTAGTCTAAAGGTACTCAAAAAACTGCATTATATTAAATCCAATTCAGCTCAGAGTTTCTACCTAAATGCTAGGCACTGTGTGACGTTAACAAAATATTTTTTTTATTGCTGCCTTTTACTAAAAATCTTTATTTTAGATAACCTGTTCAGTAGACATCTCTACTTCTCATAATGAAGTTTATTTCATTTATTTCGTCACTTGAACATGAAATACAATATGCAGGACAATTAAAAATGTTTTCAGAAGGTGGACTGGATTGCCAATAGCAAATGTAATCACTTTAAATGTGGCTCTCCAAACCCATTCAATAAAATACAAATTATTAGGTCACATGTACATAAAATTTATATACTGTACTGCAATAAATTACCATAAAATATTTAGGGAGCAATAACAAGGGAAGTGGAGTTGTTTCCTAAGGGAGTGGAGTTATTTCCTGTCAAGCATTTTATCAAGCTCTTCAACTCCACTTTAACAAATTAGGTATTGGGAAAAATGATATGAAGAGAAAAAAATAAGTTTCCTGAAATGACTTGGTCAAATAAAAATGAAAACATATTTCCTCTCCAGGCTTTTTTTACTTCATTTGTATGAATTGCCCATAGCAGTAGCGGATCGAGGAATCCGAAATAGAGGGGATCCAGGGAGGGAGTTTTACAAATGCAGGGTAAGAACACCTCAGGTTGATGGTTTTTTTTTATTTATGATTATAGCACCATTGGCCCCATTACTGCATGTGCCTTATAAAATTAGTCATTATTTTAAATAACATAGTCTGTTTCATTGGTTTGAAACATACAGTATAGTTGTATATCTGGTAAAGATAACTGTACTTTATAGTCATTACAGTTATGATTTACAATAGGTCTGTTATAATGTAGATTAATTTTAATTTTTGTATTACTGTATGTTCTTAAATGAAAGGTCCTACGCTTTGTGGCTTTTTCCTTTTGAGTGCAAGTAGGCCTGAGATAATCCTGGTAATTTTAAGATAGACATACCTGTCATTTAAGACAATGATGGTGTTATGATTTTTACTTTATCATTTGAATTATGTTTGACCCCGAAGGCTGCAATTGCCAGACAATGATTGTACAGTGTGATACTGTACATTCAACTTTATTTAGGCATACATAGACTTGCCACAGTCTCTTATTTTTTATTATTTTTCTCATTCTGGACAGCGCCACCAATGAGAAAGTTAATTTTGACGCCAATTAAATTAGGTATGGCGCGCACTAAGTGCAATAAAAAGTGAGTAACCTAAAATTAGGGCCTGGAACCCAGGCTAAGGCATACAGTACTGTATTATTACAGGTACATCTCAATTATTAGCGCAAACCAATGCCAACAAACCAATAAGGAAACATTTACCCATACACGTATAATTTCTGACCAGCCAAGAAGCGGTCGCCTAATGATTTCAGTACACGTTATCCATGATCTTCAGTAGACTCATCAATGGAATCGAGTCGTAGACGCATCCATATTCAAAGAAAGAAAGTACAGAACCGTAATGTTAAACTTAATAAACACCTTACTATTACAGTATTGGCACCTTTTATATGTTAATGTTATGTATTTACATTTCCATTAAATTCATAATTGATAAGGAAAAATTTTTATTTCAATTGTGTTATTGTCTCCACAATGTTTGTTAGGAATAATTATTTAATTTGGAGACAAAACCTTGGTTACCGTAAGATAGGACATAAGGTGGCTAGTCAAGTGGCCCGCTGGTTCGAGCCAAAATTCCTCGCCCCAGATTAGGCTGGTAGTCTTCTCGGACAAAATGGGTTCAGTGTACACATCTGGCTTGTGTACAGTTTAAAGAAACTATTGCATCTTTCAGAAGAGTAGGGGGTCACACTGATGCTATGGCTGTCATGGATGATTAAGTGCCTCTTCAGGGCGGTGAGGTAGTCAAAGACCATGCCCATACACAAATGACACTGCGAGTTATGGGTTATTCCCCTACATTTACCTTTCCAAACATTAAAACATTTTTTGAATTTAACACCATGACATATAATAAAAAATGGTCATTTTATTCAAGTTCAATTTTTATTTCTACAAAAAATGAAGTGGTAATTCCACACCAATAGTTAACACTTCAGATGGTATCTTAATGGAAAAAATACTGTTATATTTACTGTAAATAAGTTCTGTATATACACTGTGGCTGATCAAGTAAGGGCATAATTCCCCTTCAAATTTTAAATGCCAAAATTCAATTTTTAATTAACTTGCTTTGGCATGCCATTAAGAGCCATAATTTGCTAAAACTATCATACAATATAAACAACATAAAATTTACAGTCTAAAATAGACTGCAGTCTTTCTATTTTTCTTTTTATTTTATTGATTTTTTGGGTCCACGCAAGGCGCTGACCCTAGAACCTCACTTCCTGTTCTTGTTACCAAAACTTCAAAAGCGTCTTGGTATTCTATTTTTTTTTCCTTCAATTTTAAGACATTTTATTTTTTCAATTTTGGGACATTTTTAATTTTGTACAAATGAATATTCTAAATCTTATAAGCTCTTCCAAAAAACCCAATATAATAACTTGCGCCTGTACCATATCTCAGTGTGTAGGAAATTAACTTAATTGAAACATTGATTTTTTTTGCCCTTTGATTTAATTTTTTTATGTATTTGTTTTGATTGTCATTGCTTTAATTGTTACGAAGGCCTCAATGGTCAGCATTAGGGAGCTTTTGATTTGTTTGACAATGCGACTCTAGAACAGAATCACTCATGCATGACCGTTCTACCAGGCATTCTACGTTCTCTGCATATGTACATTTGGCCAAATTGCGACAAGTAGAACTTAAGGTTCTCGCATGCGCAGATGACTTCTAGTGACATCATTACGTCCTACCATCATTGTGCAATCGAAAGTTCCCTATTGCTGGAAGAGTCACCCTCGAGAAATAAAGTGCATTAAAAGTTATCATGCATCTATATCAGCCAGCCTCTTATGTACACGGCAGGGTGTTTCTATTGTACCATCAATAATACAAAAAGTAAAATAGTGCTAACACACAAATTAACCACTAAGCTGTAGCTCTACTTTGAAAGTTTTAAGCCCCATAAAAAAATTTTAGTTTATCAACCCCTCCCTTATCACTTTTGGGGAAATTCTTTTTTACTTGAAAAGCTCAGGATTTCTTGCAAATATGTTTATTGGTACAACAAAAACATTTTTTGAATATAAATTTGATTCCATTCTTATGACTTTTTATATGTGTCCCTAACCATTGATTTACTTGAGAACATCGGTAAAATGTAGGAGGTTGGCAAAAAAACCTCCCTCCCTCATCAGTTTTTTATTCTTTGATGGGTGATAAACTAATAATTTTTTTTATGGGGCCTTATAACTGTGCTCCTGAAGTATCAGCATTCTATTTACTGTATGTCTTTGCAGGTGCCATGAGCAACAAAACATTATTTAAGGCTTGCCATTCCAAAACCAGTATACAGTATTGTAAGTAGAGTAATTAGCACAAGAATGTGGCAGTAGTGTGTACGTTAGCATAGAGAAGCCGTAATACTTTTACTCATAACTTTGGTTGGCAATAGTATTAGATCATTCCAGTAAATGACCCATCATTTTAATACTTTTGATTACTGATGCTGGTTTTGGGAAGGCAAGTCCGGAGCCCGGACAAAAAAACGTGAGTTGCTACGTTTTTGTACGCTGCGTTCACATTGCGCACGTAACACGGTTATTCGTTTTAAGTATGTATGTGTTTGATTGGTTCAAACCAACCAAGCTTGTTGCTGATTGGTCCATGGAAAAAAAAACGTACGATTTCAGGATACAAATGGCTCTCAGATCCATCGGTCTGGATTAGAAATCGTATGAATTTGATGTGGACGGTCCTATTCTTTATTGCTGAACCCATTTTTCATGATTTTTTCTCCGGAATCCGGGCTTGATGTGAACGTAGCTTAAAGTCTAAAAAGTTTAGAAATGTGTAAAATCAAATGTAATAATATTATTTAATATTACTCTGGAGAGCTGATATAGCAAGTTGTTCATAAGGCTCATTTTACCTAGAAGAAAATTATGTATACAAGTCAAAGTCAATTCGTTTAGACGTGTAGAAATTTGCTCCCGAATTAACTTTGCGGACTAACACTCCATCAGGGAAGAAGTCTTTGTCCACCCATTCCTGCATTTGGGTACTGCTAAATGGACCATGAATCTCTGCATTGTCCTTGTCTTCCCATTTATACTCCCACAATACTTCATCAATTGCTATTTGACTCTTCTCACTTCCATTCAAATCTAGACAGGAAAATATAGATTAAAACATTCAATTAAAGCTGAAGATATGGTTTTTCTGTGGTCATCCAACACACTAGCGGTGTCAGCGAGGGTCCACTGCCCACCTGTCGGACACCGGGACGTAGCCAGGATTTTGAAAGGGGGGAAGCCATTATGCGAATTACGCGGGAACCCGGTGGGGTCCAACCCCCCATGAAGTAGCGCACCCTGAACGTTCTTAGGACTGTTTTGAGAGGATAAAGTGGACGCATTATAAATAAGCGCAACAATAATTATATAATAAATCAACAGTGGTGGATCCAGGAATTCGAAAGGGAGGGAGTTTCACAGACTGAGGAACCACCCACCTCAGCCCCACCGTGGTTGGGGCTGAGGTAAGATAATTTATGATTAGGGCATCTCTAGATGGCCGGAAATTACACTCTCATACATAACTTTGATTATATTTTTCTTTTTTTGAGGGGAGGGAACAGGCCTTTAATCCACCTCTGCTCAAAACATTCTTTATCCAAAATAGTAATAATCATGAAAAATGGGCATGGAAAATCAGATCACATCCTAAAAACAAATGTATGGACCCTCACCACAGCAGTCACTAAGACATACTCTGAATCAGGTGCCGACTCGATGGAGTTTAATGTCATACCAAGGGAAGGGCACAGATCTGTTTTGAAAGGTGGAGGAGGACATTTTTTGAGTCGACACCTACCTCAGACCCACCGTGGTTGGAGCTGAGGCGAGAAAATTTAAGGAAATAGTACGTAGATGGCCAGAAATGACAGTAAAATTCATCATCATCACATCACCATTAGTCAAAATGAAGCACCAAAAAAATTCTCATGATCAGGGAAATCAGGGATTGTTGGCAACCATAGAGATCTTATTAATGTGTGTGTGATATACCATGGAAAACAAAGCTTAAAAACATTGTCTTTGAGTTTGTATTATACATACATCAAAACCGTGATGTCACAACCACCTCAGCCCGGTGAGAAAATTTGAGGAAATTGTACCTCTAGATGGCCGGAAATGACACTTTTGTGTAGTAAAATTCATCATCACATCACCATTATATAATCAAAATGAAACACCAACAAGTTTCTCATGATTTTTTATCAGGGATCTAACTACCCTGTATAGCTTATTAAGCTTCAACTATAATATAATAATTATGATCAACAAATCACAACTTTTTTTTTTCGCATTTATCACTATTTTCTTCACTTTTTAGTGTTATTTAAATATTATTATCAATTATCACTATCATCATCATCATCATTATTATTAGTATTATTATTATTACTACTATTAGGAGTACTATTATTAAACAAAACTTTAAAGAAACTTGAAAAAGGATAAAAACCAAACTGAAACATACAGTATCACATTTCTATATATTGAAAAACCTGGCCTGAGATTTATGGATTAAATTTTATTTAAATCACGCTTAGGTCTATGTGTTCTATTAGGCCTATTATGTATAACGTGTACTGATGCATATTTACATGTTTAGAAGAAGTATTCATTTTGAATGATCCCAGTATTGGCTCAAGAACAAGCTTTAAAATTTTAACACTATGTACAAAAGGGGGGGGGGGGCTAAAATTAGTAGCCTGAGTTTATGGCAAATAGTATGGTTATGAACAAGGATATAAGCAATGATGTTTATTAATTAATAATCAATATTTCCCATTTTGTAAATAACATACTGTGTCGTGATGGTGTGATAGATAAAATTAAACAGATTATAATTAGCCAATAATTACACAAAGCGCAACAGCTGTACAAGCGTTATCAACATTTCAGAGGCAGAAAAATAGATCCTATTATATTCTCCATTGTGTGTATTTCACTAATAGCATCAAATTATTTTCTATAATTTACGAAACTATTGAGCGACAAAAATATCCATTCTGATCAAACAATGTGGCTGTAATGTGCAACTGCTGCGCTGTGTAAATACGATTAAGTCTTACCATCCTGGTTATATGTGTTTAACTTTTCTTCGTCAACATCATCAGCAAACATATCAAAAGCATCAGCTTTTCTTTTCGTCTCCTTCTTTTTCTTTGCTTCAAGTAAATGACTAATTTTTTCATAGGTGTATTGATACACCTCATAGTTGCCATTGGCAACAAGTTCATCTACAAGTTCAGTTAGCTTCAACATTTCGTCTTTATTCACAGCTGCATCAGTTGCAATCTTCCCTCTCTCTTTGTTTTTCTTGTTCTGCCAACGTCTATCTGACGATTGCTTTCCTCCTCCTAAGCGACGGACTGCTTTAGAAACAGTTTCTCCAGGTTTAAGGAAAACTAATATGTCTTTCAGAATAACAAGTTCATCTACATCCTCATCCTGATCAGTTCCTCCCATCTTTGATTCATCCTTTTGTTTCGCACCCTCTTCTCCTCCTTCTCGTTCTTTTATCTTCACCCAATCTATTTCATCCATCCAGCTGTCTCTAATTTCATCCTCTTTCTTTTCAAAATAGTTTCCCTCTTTATCAAAGTAGCCGTCTTGCATTTCCTCTTTGAGGTTGAACGGTGTCAATTTCATACCTCCTTCAGACTCCAGTGTTCTGTCTTCACAACCTATGAATCCAAAATATTGTATATTGAATTAATGCAATGTAGTGGTCAACTACAGACTACTACTACTACTTTATTGTTCTAACAGCGCATGTCCATAGTGAAGGTCAATCAACATAAACAATCATTCAACATAGGCTAGGCCTATCTAGGCCTAAGACTTAATGCGGCCTTCAACATAAACAATCATTCAACATAGGCTAGGCCTATCTAGGCCTAAGACTTAATGCGGCCTTCAACAATAAACAATCATTCAACATAGGCTAGGCCTATCTAGGCCTAAGACTTAATGCGGCCTTCAACATAAACAATCATTCAACATAGGCTAGGCCTATCTTGGCCTAAGACTTAATGCGGCCTTCAACATTGTCTGAGATCAGTAAAGCTCTGTTTCCATAGAATCGTTCACCCTATCGGCAACAGTCGCCGGGAAGGTTGAACCTGGTTCAACTTTGCCGATTACGTTGCAGGCGAATCAGGGTGCATTGCTAGCTGCCCTGACGCAATCGGCAAAATTGAACCAGGTTCAACCCTCCCGACAGCTGTCGTCGACAGTCGCTGATAGGGTGAGCGATTCTATGGAAACAGATCTTAAGTGTGATGTGATGCATAGTCAAAAGTATACTTGCATCAATTAATGAACTGTTACTTAGGCCCTATAAAAATATTAGTTTTTAACCCTATCTATATAAATATATGATCATTGACCATTGACCATATCAAGGCTAGGCTTTTTATTTTCATAAAGACAAATGGGTTGCTTGCTGGTGCATTCATATTCAAAGTAAAATACAAGATTGACATAATACAGTACAAACAATATCTACTAATTATTTAGTCAAAAATAAATAAGAATTTTTTTTTTCAATACAATACAAGACATGTGGGAGGGTGATAATTGGGTCTTATAGCTTCATAACATTGAGATGATTACAAAAGGCCATGCCTATTTGAAGGCATATGCTGTGTGTGTGTTAAATGATTGTTTATTTTGATTGATTTTCACTACAGACATGCGCAGTTAAAACTACGAAATGGCTTATTAGCAGTTAGTCACATGGTCAAGGGGCTTGACAGGTCAATTGAAATTTGTAATTTAACATAAATCAAGGAGTTTTCACTTTTATTTTTTTCAACGGTTTAATCTGTTAGTATATAATATAAAAAACCTCAGAGAAATAAACAATATATGCAGAAAGGAAAATGGTGCTACAGACAGCTCTTCGAGATGAATATGTGTCTGAAGATTATACAGTCGCTGCCACCATGGTTTTGGGAACCCAATTGTATTGGGTTGTCCACTACATACTCATCATTATCAGGGGAGGATCCAGAGATGTCCGAAGGGGAGGGGGGATTTTGGGGCCAGAAATAACAATAATAAATTAAGTTTTAAAGAGCGCAGAATGCTATAAACCTCTATGCGCTTTACATTAAAAGCGGGAACAGAATTAAAAGAAAAGATGATTAAAACAGCGAAAATCTTTTGCAATAAAAAAAAAAAGGGGGTTAATGTAATAATTTTTATTTATTTAATTTATTTTTTTAAATTTTATTTTTATAATATTAATGTTTAATTATTTAAATGTCAACCAAGTTTTTATCTCAATTATCTCAAAGTGGGGCAGATCGAGATAACACCACCCTAGGAGTTCAGGGGCATGCCCTGTAAAATTGTTGTTTTCTAGATGCCCGAAAATAACATCTAAGGCGTTTTGGGTGATCAATTTTTCCTTTTTCTTTCTTTTTTTTGACATTCCAAAAGGGGGAGGGGTGTCAGGGCCCCCCCTCCTAATTCCGCCTCTGATTATTATTATTTGTACAAGTTACAACTAAGCAATGCTTAGAGAGTTGACAAGATTCAGTGGCAGACCGTATAGTAAAATGTAGGGTATGCTAGGGCTGCTAGTTGGAAATCTAATAGCCTACAGTCATAACACTGCGTTCTATAAAGCTAAAATACAAATACTGTATTTATTTGAATAAATGTCCCTCCATAGCAGAATTTGGAATAAACACCTTCCTTATAACCTAGTCAGTAATTATGTGTAGTAGTTCAATTCTATTGACTGGCATTCAGGTGTTGGCAGATACAGTATTGAAAACCAACCATGCAGAAATTCTAAGCAGAAGAGTGTATGACGCGATAGGCACGCTATCCTAGGATACCAAAAGGTCTTAAGATTGAAAAACTAATAAAACTTAGATATTGTTCAACTTCAATTTTATATGATAAAATTGCAATAAAGCTTCTCGTATCGTATCATTCCAATGAAAGTAGCAATTAACTCAAAACAAATCAATGTTGGTATAAAAGACTTTGGCCAATAAATACTAAATAAAATGAAAAAAGGGCACAATAAAATAATTTCTTTGAAGTTTTATGCTTGGGTATGCAGAGCATACCTTGCTTATCTTGATGGTCTGCCACTGACAAGATTCATGATTTGCATACTTTCTGATCCATATACAGTATAAAGCTTAAATTTGTAATAAATTAATGTAGCAATGCACAATGATTAAACAAATTAATAAGCAATTGCTCCATAGAGGAATTGAATGCTTAGCCATTGACTACTAGTATGCAGTACTACTTGTATGCTTCTCAGCTATTTAGTGTCTTTTGGTTTTTTTAGTGGGAATTACTGTACAATATTTCAACATTGGAAGTACTATAAAACTGTTTTTGAACCACATACTTTCAGGTAACTTCCATTACTTTTATACTACTATATTCATAATTGGGATAGGAAAATTGTTTTATATTTTATGACTATCGTATGTTTGTAGCGGTGTTATGATAGGCATTTACAGAACACAGCTGTGTGTCCTGTAAATCAGTTCATCTCTGATGTATACAACACCTGGATAATCATGGAAATAAACATTTGTCTTATTACAGTATTGATACACTTTACTTTACAAACAAGTAGTTTAAATCATTGATCAAATCTCAGAAATTTCATAATAATATTAATAAATAGGTTTTTAATAATATAGTGACTTATGTTAATCTCTCAGGATGCTTTTACACAAAATGTAAAAAGTCAAATTAGTATAAAAGATGCATTTTTGGCTGCCACTCATCATTTATTTACACAAAAAATTTGAAAAAATAATTTTAATAACAAGTATTACAGTAGATATTATTTATCGCAACACTATATGGTCAAGCAGCAGCACCTGCCCAAACTTTTGTGGATCTTTACCGATGCAATATTCATTTACCTTCAACAAGGTCACCTTCATCTATGTTGTAAGCAGAAGGATCAGCTGTATTGTCTTCCTCATCACTGTCAAGTGAATGTTTCTCATTAAAACGGCTTGACTTTTCACTCTGTTCACCTCTCCCGGTAGCTAGACCTTCTTTCGCTTCTTCCTTGTCATTGAACCGGACCTTCCGCTTTGAATACTCCGAAAATGATCCCAGCTCTGTCTCATCACCACCAGCAATTTTCCGTTTTGACATTATTGTCTGCAAAATCACCAATTATTAATCTTTCAAACAAGTAAAATTAATGAACTTTGTTAAACTAACAAAAATATATACCACCTCAAAATAGTTGCCCGGGCCCAGGTGGAGGCTGGGTCCCCCAGTGGGGTCGAGGGGTAGAGCCCTGATGCGGGCCAGGGATAGAAAGTATCATACTCTATTGCCTCTCCTCATAATTTTGCAAAATCTGTGAGGGGGAAATTGTGGCCAAATGCCCACTGAACGTTGGTAGGAAAAAAAAATGTCTCACATGAAATCAACGTAAATAAACATTCTTTTATCAAATGTAAATATGATTTATCTTTAGATTAATGCAAAATTCAACCGATTTTGATAATTAACAATGTTTCAAAATACAATTTTTGTCATTTTATTTAGTTCCATGGTAAATCAAGCAGCACTATTTTTTGCTCTCCTTGTATCGTTTTGAAGAGTGAAGGAGCGCCGGTGCGGCTGCACTGTTTGGCATAGTGCAGCCCGCATGCCAGATTTTGTTTTTAAATCCTATTTCAGGCTGAATAAAATTAATTGTTAGTTTTAATTCTGAATTGTCTTTTTAAGGTATTTAGGCCCTAGGCCTACTATTTTTGCTATTTACTTTTCTATTAGTGGAAAACACCCTGTGGTAAATAATAAGAATGGCAAACATCTGTAAATGAAATACTACACTAAAATTGAGCATAAATGGTATAGGCCTAAAAGGAATACTGGTATTATATCACATGTGCAAGTCCAAGCTCACTGTAGTAAACTACTACAGTAAATACTGCATCCATAACTAGGGCCTAGGCCTAGCTTGCTTGTTGAAAGCCGGTCAACCCGGCCCCAGTCAACTTGGCCCCAAGTTGACTTGGGGCCGTGAGTTGACTTGGGGATGCGAGTTGACTTGGGGATGCGAGTTGATTTGGGGCCGCGAGTTGACTTGGGGCCGCAAGTTGACTTGGGGCCGAATTGACTTGTGGGGTCGAGTTGATCGAGTCAAATTCTGCTTGTTGTAACCTTCAGTGTAAAAAATGCCAGTTAAATAAATTGGACCTTTGACATGACCCTTGCCTTGCTAGCTAGGGCCGGCCTGGCCCAGTACATACTAGCCTAGGCTATAGGCCTATGAGATTAGGTAGGGCAGCCCCCAACCCTTTCATTATTGAACTAGCTAGGCCTAGGCTGTGTCTAGCTACTGCTGGGCTTCTTTATTTTAGTTAGGCCTTGTATGCCTAGCCTGGCCCTAGGCTACTTAATTAAATCTCTATTTAGGCTAGGCTAAGCTTAGATAGGCCAAGTCTAGCTAGGCCCAGCCAGTAGAGTAGGGCCGTAGGCCTAACTAGCGTTATTATTTTATAATGTAGGCCTAGGCTATATATTATTATTATAATGCAGGCCTAGCTAGGGGGCCGTAACCCAGCCTAATCAAAGTTTGGCCTAATCCTTGACAATGAGTAATACTTGTTTACCTAGCTATCCCAGACCTTTCTTAGGACTTGAAAACATAAATTCGAATAGAGCGAACAAAATTAACCAACGCTTTAAATATTCATGAGGTAAACCGTAGTTTACCCAGGCCACTAAATCTCTATTGGTCCTCCCTCGCGCGAGAGGGGAGATGATCGAGAGAGAGCTCGTGCATGTGTGAATTGTGAGATCGACATTACTGACTCACTCAAACCGCGTGTTAAGCGGTGCACAGACGCCATTGTTTGTCGGAACAGTGTCAGTCAGAACGGAGATAGTAAGTGATATGAGGTGAGTCTATTTTTTTTTATTTTAAAATATTATACATCATTATTATATAGTGTTTGGTCATCTGAAGTGTGTTTTATTGTTATTTTTATCGCGGCCTCTCTATAGGCCCTAGGGCTTGACAATCTTTCATCAGCAGAGTAGCCTAGGCCATCTTACACTTGATTAATTTTCTACACCAGTTGTACAACTCTGCTGTACTACCTAGTACTACCCTAGGGGCCTAGGCCTAGGCTAGGCACTTTTAAATTAACTTTTCCCCCTCCTAGGTTAAACAATAGAGAGGCATAGGAGGATCTTCTTGATGTTTTTGAAATCCTTTTTTATGAACATTCTTACAAACAAACAATTGAATGCATACCACCACCAGAACATCATTTTTTGTGCAAATCGTGATGGCTACCCACAAGTAATAATAAGTTTGGATAACAAATTATCTTTCAAATAATCCTCTTTGATATTTACAACCAAAAGATATCTTCATAATATGTTCAGTGGTCTTGCCAGCTATTATACTTAAGCAATCTTTGCTTAAGTTTCAACATTTTAATGACCAATAAATATATATGAAATGTATGAAATAACAATTACGATCTCTGCAACGTGTACCCAAAACAAAGGAGATTAGGACACCGAGGGCCTATATTTATATTGATTAGCAATGTCAACATCGCTATAGCTTTTTTCATGTAAATTGTTGAATAGCCCTGAACAGGCGTACACTCCACCGAGGGGTCACAATGGAATCAAGTTATTACTGACACACCGGTACCACAAAATCACCGACAGGTTTAGCGATAAGACCATGTTGTACGCGCACATTTTTGTTGCCTAGCAGAGAATTGGGTCTGCTGTAGTTCAACTGTGGGCTCTCTTACTTGCCACACTTGTGGGATGAATTCCTTTGCTTATTAGCAGACGTGTGAGACAAGCAGAATTTCCCACGAGCGTGAGAAAAAGACACCGATCTATCGCCTCTGAACTAGATTTAAGTAAAACTTAATATGCAATCAACAGTCTTTACTGTGATATGGAAACAACTAAATTAATTTAAATAAAAATATGCATAAGAACATCTTGCAATTAAAATTAGTACAGCATGCATGTTGTATAATCAATTGTAAAATTGGCAAATTGTTCTACAAAATTATAGTAATAAGAGATATTATGAGTCCTTGAAATTCGGAAAATTTGACCTGGAATGTCCTTGGAATTGTCCTGGAAATTTGCTTGTTTAAAAACATATGAACCCTGTTATAAGTACTGTAGTGAATTATTAGTAAACTTGACTCTTGTTTTGTCCTATGCTCCCTTATTAGTTAAGCCTAACTTTAACTAAAATACTCAATTACGATGTAGTAGGTGAAATGTAAAAAGTTTTACAAGTTCAAATTGTACTCCCAAGATATTTATTATTACTTTCACTGCCAGTGCCAAGAAAATCAATTTCACAGGCAAAGATTTAAGATTCGGATTTTCTCTCTGTGGATTAAGCCGAGGCCAAGCCAACACTAGCCCTCAACTCGTCTATAAGTACCTGATTATATCCTATTCTCCAAATATTTTGCCTGCTATTTAAACAAAATATATCCAAGGCATTGTAAGCAGTTACTACTAGTTATCACTTTCTATACCTCCATGGCTGTACTGTAAAACCCTTTATTTCTGCGCCCTTTTTAGGTGTTTTCACAATTTTTCCATTTTAAATATATTTTGCATCCTTCTATTTTCAATTTTGCAATTCCCTGTAGTTTTCTAAGGCAGAAACATATTATTATGCTTTTTTTCATAGCCTATATTGTAGCTAGAGCTCCAGATTTTTTTTTTTGGGGGGGGGGTTTCTGATTTTTTTTTTTTAGCAACCTACCCTCAGATTGTACACATTTTAAATAAACAATGCTTTCCTATTGTTTCAGAGGGACTACTGACAGGTACAGTACACTATATTTGAGCATGCTTCAGTGAACTAACACCAGGAAGTTAGTCCCTCTACACTCACAATAGGCCTACATTGGTAACACAGAAGAAATAACAACATTGATATATTATAGTAGTTAGTAATTGTTATTGATGTGATGGAATAGACAATAACTGGATTTGCGTCAAGAGAATCAAGTATCTAGATATTATTTTAAAAATTAAAAAGATTATAGTACTAGTTAATTACCAACTACAGTAGAACCTTGTTTTTACGTACGGTACGGGACCGAAGGGCGTACGTAAATCAGGGGATTCGTAAAATAGAGGTTGGGTTACATTTGTGATGACCTTTGACCTAATACATACGTAAACACTCAATAAAGGTATGCTATGAACGAACGATGATATCTAGGCCTAGGTGTACAGCTGTAGGCCTAGGCCTACAAATAAAACCATGTGTTTAGTGTTTTATTCATCACTACGATGTCATAATAAAGTGTTCAAATAAAACCATGTGTCTAAGTGTACAGTATTAATTCATCATTTTATATCCTATATTTAATAAAAACATTGAAATATTGTCAGATTACCTATACGGCAAAGGTTTAATTTCCCTCCATTTCTAGAGCTGCGGTGTTGCCTGGGCGTGCTGAGACAAACTAAAACCATGTGCACTGAGCGAGACGACGATCAGCTAGTGTTCATGTGCAAAATTACGTCATTGCCTACCCAGCTAAAGTGTAGAAAAATAGACAAGATGTAGATAGAACTTTGATACACCAACGCTAGTTGTTCGTCTTGCCAAGTCCCCGTGATTTCAGGTTATAATAGCGTGTCTATAGACACAAAACAACTTTGCAGTTGATTGTAAATTTGTCGTCATTGCAATCGTCTTCGTCGTTGCATCAATATCATCATCATCATCATTATTTTGTGATGTTTGGATGCGTGTGTTTATTGTATCGGTATTGAAATAAAATATAGACAGAAACTGACAAATCACTTTTTGCATTACTGTATGGTGGCCCTGAAAAGGGCCGTTGGTTTTGAGTATTTTTTTTTTTTTTTTTTGTATTTTCGTTTTTCTAGTTGAAGAAGTTTCGTCTTTTTCAAAGATGCTGTTCTTATTAGAGCTGCCTGATCCCTCCATCTTCTCACTTGCCGTACATGCATTGGATCCATGCCATTCTGCTCAAGCCACTCCATTGCTATTGTAAACGCTTCAAAAGCTTTCTCCAGCTTGATCTTTATGTCGTTGAAGATCTCGGCATCCATCCAGGCATTCTTTTGACTAAAATAGTGCACTGGGAGGTGACCGATTTGGTCATTTTTAAAACGTCTTGGCTTTGCTGCCTTGTGTACAAACGTTGATGGAATCTCGCACATCCCACTGGCTTTCACGCATCCCATTAAAGTCACACGATCTTTGGCAGTTTTGAAGTTTTTGGCCGTCTTTTCGTAATGTAAAACTAGAGTGCGACTAGGCATTAATGGGTACCCCCCTTTCTTTGTTGTCGGATCAACGATGTGTAACATGCTTGGTCATGCCTTTCAAATGACGCTTTAGACAAGTATGATTTCTTCATAAATAACGTCGGAGAATCACTCTTAGAAACGGTTGCCTCGATTTCCTCTTGTTAGCCCATACTGTGGACACGATAGATTTCGACCCTAAGTATGGAGTACTAACAGCAGTGTAAAAACATATATAAGCATATAGGTATATACAGTACAGTCGTGAAATATTGCACTTTTACCTGCGCGCAGGCTTCGTAGATACATCGTAGCCTGATATAAACAATCTAACCTGCGCGCAGGCTTCGTAGCCTGATATAAACAATCTAAGCAAGGCTACGCGAAGAGAACCTACGAAGCAAAAGCATGTTGTTTATTTGTATGTGCAGAAAGACTGCTGTAGCTTACTGGAATAAACAATGTATTGCTTGATAATTTGTGAATGGCAAACACGAGTTTAGACCGTTAATTTAAAGTATGGAACTGTTTTTCAATAAGAAAAACGTACACATGACTTCATGGGAGTCTCCTCTTCCACTCGCTGTCCACGACAGGAACTTGTTTGTACTGCTGTATTTTTTTAAAAATTAGTTAGCCTAGGCCTAGCTTATTTTTCATTTACAATTATTTTACCTCATTTAAAATGTCAAAAAACGATGTCCTCAATGGCAATACAACCATGTGAAAAGATTGTTCATCAAATAATATTTTGTAGTCTTGATTTAGTAAGATAAATAATAAATATAAAGTAGAATTAACGTTTGTTGGTTGTAAAATTACCGAATGTCACATGGAAAACCCAATGGAAAATAAAACTTAGCCAGCATCAGACGTCAGAGTGCGCGCCAATCAGAACACAGTAAAGTGTGTTAAAGGTTAACCTCGTGGCAAATGTTGAAAAGCTGTGAGCAACAGTGAGTAAAAAACAGAGTAAATGCGGTCTAGCATGACTAGCCTTAATTCGGCAAGGTAGTGATTTCTATTCTTCCATTTAGTATTGGATCGCTCTGCAGGTTGTTCTGCTTCAAATTACGGTAAACAATAAACAACGTGATCTGTAGAAATCGTAATAATTTGTACATGATTTGTCATCAGTATTATTTAAAAGAAGAAAATTCCTACTACCAGAAGAATAATATCAGATCAAAATCTGTCTCTTATACACATCTAGATGTGTATAAGAGACAGCGATTTACACATATGACAATTCCAGCTTGTATTATTAATTTTTAAAAATCCGGTTTTACCGCATCTCTCTTGATCGAAATTCGAACATACTGAATGCCCACTAGGTTACCCACCCAGCTAGCGAACTAAACACAGTTTTAAAACATGATCGATTTAATAATAAGGTAGGATATAACAAAACAATAAAGTTCTAACATTGATTATTTAGTAAATTGCAACATTGCTTACGTGTTGAAAGCTGGTAAACTATATTTCAAAATTGTTTACGCATTGATTATCAGCACGACGATCCAGCCTACGATCATTGCAAAGCTAATTAAAATAACAATGACCTTCGTAGTGGTTCGTAGGTACGTTCCAAACGGTACCTACGAGCAGGC